TTTGTTTAGATTCCTATTGCCATCTGGATGAAGTTCAGATGTCTTAGTATTGTCTGTACGAGGCCCTTGCTGACTTTTCCAGCCTTATCTCTTGCCATTTTCCACCTCGAGGTCAAAGCACGGGCCTTACTAAGCTATTTTTAGATCTCTTCAGAGAAAGCTCTTCGCTCTTGTCTTCGTGCGAGTTGCCTCTTCTTTGACAACGTAATAGTAAAACTCACGACTCTTCCTTCAAGACAGAAACTAAAACTAAAACTAAACTACGAGTGTCATTGTGTGCAGAGGCCGAGAAATCCAGGCCTGTCCAATCGTCTTCGTCACTCTACACCTATGCTCATCTCTGATTAATGCCTGATTAACTAGTTTTGTACCGGTACAAGAATCAATTCAGAAATAATTAGATAGCGAAAGTCAGATTTGTTTCAATCGACTACACATACGATGAAATCTTTTCCATACTTCTTAAATTTTTATAGCATAATCACGAAAGTGATGTAACCAAGTGACAGGATATTTAGAAAAGAAAAACAAAGGCGAGACCCACAGTCTCATCATCTAGGGCACAATTACTACGGTTAACGCCACCCAGTTCCGTGAGGGCAGCGGCTGACACGCGTCCTGTTCACTGCTGTGTTCTCAATTTAAAAAAAATATCTGAATGAACAACTGACGCATCATTTCGGCGTAGAGAATTCAAAATTCAAACATACTCCAACTTCCTCCTATGTCCCCGTTCAGCAACTTGGAGAATTTCAGTTTCGGTTCCTCAGAAAGAGACGGTCCTGGGAACAGACGACAGCAGCAATGCGGGAGGAAGATGCGCGCGCATTATTTTCAGTGAAGTCCTGGAAAAGGTACAGAAAGCGAGGAGAAGGGAAAACGGACCCTGGAAGGATCGGCGGTGACGCGCGAGAGAGGGGGTGACGCTGACGCGGGGCCGAGGGAGGCGCACGCGACCTGACGCGAGTCAGTAAACGGACAAGGCCGAAGCGACGGACGCCACGCGGCCAAGTCGGCGCGTCCACCCGTCAGAACCGCGTGTCCACCCATCAGAACCGCAGGGGGAGCCGCCCAGCAGAGCGGACGAGCCAAGGAATGGGCCATCGGCTGACTCAGACTCTGCTAGGAACCCGCAAAGGGGCCGAGGCCACGGAACTCGGGGAGCGTCCGGGGAACGGTGCGAGGCCGCAGGAAACGAAGGCGAGAACTGGACGCAACACGCGGTGCCGGCCCCGGCCCGGCCGCTAGGTCTTCGCTCGCGCGACAGGGCAAAGCTTAGGTGCCGGCGCACTGAGTCCATGAACCATGATTCACGTGCGCAGACGCTTCCTGCTTGTCCTTCAACATGATTTATTGAAGAGTCTGTATGTTCCAGGCGAGACGGGATCATCCGTGTGAGAACCCGGGCTTGTGAGGAAGGACGTGATCGGTAAACAGACGCCGCGCGGTAAGAGCGCGGCCGCGGTCACTTCCCCGGCAGTGGCCGCGTGCGTGCCAGGCTCTGCCACCCGCCAGGGCGGGCGCCGCTATTATGTTCGTCCTGCGGGATCAGGAAACCTAGGTGCAAGGAAACGGGTGACGTGCCCAGGAGCACGGAGCGTGTGACGCTCGGCCCCACGGCTGCATTAGAGGGAAGCGTGAGGCTATGCACATGCAAACACACACACACACACGCATGTGCATGCAAATGCACGCACATGCATGCATGCACACACGTGCACAAACATGCACACGCACATACACACGTGCAAGTGCGCGCAAACATGCACACTCACACATGCATGTGCGTGCAAATGCGCACTCATGCATGTATGCACACGCACATACACACAAACACACATGCACACACGTGCGTGCGCACACGTGCATGCATGCACACACACACACAGACCCTGATGCACACCACAGGTGTCACGGGAGCTTCCTCAGAGGAGCGAACATCAGGCAGAGCTTTAGACATGCGTAATGTTTCCGATTTTAATCAACCCCAAATTTTCCTTCAACAAAGCCCCGTGTAGATAGGTGTGCATTCTGCAGTCCTGCTGTCAGCCTCCTCCTCTGGCTGGACGCTAAGAAGTCAAATTCTGGGACAAATCATGTGGAATAACCCCACAGCTTCCAGCAACCGCTGCCACTTAGCTGCCACCAGCAATATGAGGGTCTCCACCCTACCGCATGTGCTTTACCACAAATGGAAAGTGACACTTCAACGGTTCTTTGCCATTAATAGAAAAACAGTGTTTCTTCACTAGTTAAGCTACCCATTTCCCCAGGAACACTTCAGGTCTGCACAGCTTCTACCTACGGCGTGTCAGGGAACGCTGCCAGCGAAATGACATCCTAGAAGGTCTTATGCGACAGATGCTGTCATTCGTTCCTATGACCACAAGAGTGGCTGTGTCGCAGTTAAGATATCCAGAGAAATTGGGTTTCTATCTTCCTGCCAAGATTCCTGACCTCTAAAACCTGTAATGAGCTCGACGAGGACAGGGGCAATGCCTTATAGGATTCTGAAGTCCGATCACAATGTCGGCAAGTAATACACACCCTGTAATGGCTTCTTATAAGGATAGGTAGGAAAAGTAATGGATGATGACAAAATACAAATTGAAACCATACTTCCTGAGCGCTGCATGTCTGGCACACACTTAGCCCAGTAAACACCACAAGGGGGAAAGATGAAGAAGGAGGAACTTGTTCCCCGCTCTCCCTGCCTGCCACATCGACAGGGAGCCATGATCCCGGAGGACCCGCGATGGCTCTGGCTTATGCCTTTCGTCCTGGCATCCTGTCCGATCGGAGCCGCCTTTCAAAGAATGCAGCAGCTCTCAGTACAAAGTGCTTCTCTGCTCAGACAGCTTGTCTTTGTGTTGCTCTGAATTTCAAGACCTGGGAGCAGGTGACTCGTTTGGCCTGTAAGTGTTTTTATAATACTTCACCATTTAAAGCCAAGTAATCTACGAATAGTTAATCCCTAACTAAGAGAACATCCTTGGTTATGTCAGCATTCTCGATTCCAGTCCACTGATAAGAGAAGTGAGGCCTGGAAAGAAAAAGTGACTTACCCAAGGTCACGCCATGAATCATCAGCCACCCGACAGGACTGTTAGAACACCCACTTCCACTTCTTGATTAATTCTCGAAACCACACAGTCATTAATTTGCAATTAAATCTCCCGTGCAGTTCGGTTAGAAAGATTTTAATCATTTAGTAAAAGGCTTTGTGAACTGCAGGCGTGTTAATCTATTTCAACTGGCACACCTTAGATAATATTTTTAATGGGCACAAATCTCATGATTAATAATATTTTCGTTTCACCGAATACTACATTCAAAACTAAACTATAGGTCCTAAGCTATAGGTGAAGGGAATATTTATAAAACAGGTGAAAATTTAAAACGAACACAGTCTTTTGAGTAATTAAAAAGTAAAGTTTGTTACATCTTTACATTTCACAAGGATGTCAATATTTCATATCAGGGCACAGAGTTTAGATAAGATTTTAGCAGATTAACATCTTGGATTATAGGAGAAAATCTAAATAGAGCCAATAAAGTCATTCTCTACAGCAACGAAAACAAAAACTGAAGAGAATAAATTTAATAGGCTATGCCCAAGACATATGTGTGTGTGTGTGTATGCATGTGTATGTGTACACATACACACACAGACTCCACTTGCATAAAAGGAGAGTCGTAACATATACGCAGTTGGAGAGACTCACTCTCACAGACACGCCACCCCCACATTAATCTATAAACATGTCGTAATGTTAGTCAAGGTCCCGTTTGCATCCTGTGGGGGTGGGGTACAGAATTCGATAAACTCATATAACGTATGCGGAGAAATGAATTTAAGAGAATAACCAAGAAAACTTTCTTAAAGTATAAATAAACTACAGTAATAAAAACAGCGTTTTGCTGGCACAGACCATGGAATACAACCGAAAGTTCGACATCGGGCACAGGTGTCCCTAAGCATCCAATAAATGAGGACCGACAATGAGACAATGAAAGAAAGGGAGAATTTAGTAAACAGTGTTGTGACGGGTGACTAGGTCTACACCCCACACCATATGTCAAAATAAGCTCCAGGTGGATTGAACATTTTGATGCAGGAAAATGAAAACGAAATGGGGAAGGCTTTTCTACACGACTTCAAAGGTAGCAATAAAAAAAGACGGATAGATTTGACATAAACCAAATAATACTCAAAGAGACACGTATTACGGATGGTAATCATTTTTCTGTCATTTAACTATAATCCCTTAAATTTATCATTTGTCTTTTCGTTTTATTAGTTCCTTTTGACACGAAAAATTTAAAAACTGGAAGAAAAAAATATTAATCCTTCCTTTAAAGTTTCTTTGCTTTGGCCTAGAAGTGACTTTCTTAACCTCGAATCAGACTAATTTTCGCTTAAATTTTCTTATAATTCTTTCATTCTTATTTTAAGTTAATTAAACAGATAAGAAGTCAAAACATGATTCTGTCCTACATGAGCTGTTTGAGGATATTACTTAACCACATTGAGCCTCAATTTCATTTTCCTGAATAAACATACCAACCTTTTAGAACTGCTGTGGAGATTACGAGAAATAGTTTACACAAAGTGTTTCTCAAGGTAGAACCCGACGTATAAGAAGTCGACAAGCTATGATTTTTCATGCTATCGCGTTGCATATCAGGCTTCTTAATTTCAATGACATATTTTCATGACTAGCGACTTATGGTAATAGCATTTTTACCTGATTTTAAAACAAATTTCACGTTATTTAATTAATGATGTAGTTTTCTACTTTGTAAATGATTTTTAAACCATAATATATGCCAATCAAAAAAAAAAATCTTAATTCTTTGAAGACTATCTAGTCATACGGAGCATCCTTACCAGATGGCCAAGTGATGGAGTGATCCAGGAATATTAAAGTTTTCTTACACACCAGAACCGCCGAGAGTATCTGTGAGCCTGGGCTGGGAACAGGATGCTTGCATCTTACCTCTAGCAGGCCGTCCTCTGGCAGGTCGGTACAGTGAACAGCATTCTGGATCTTAGTTTTTCCAAAGACTGCTCTGAGGGTCTCAGGACGCAAATGCCGGGCAATTTCCTAGTGAACACACATTAGCAGGTGGGTTAAAGCCGGGCATGGTGCTAGTCAGAAAAATATCAGCTGCACAAAACACGTGGGTTATTCATGAAACACACGTATACTCTGATGACACCGATTTTTCCTGGAAATAGCCTGAATGTATGAAAACTTTGAGGAAAATCTTCAGTTCACTCTTAAAGCGTTTTCTGTGGCCCAACATAAAGTCCGCTGTGGTCTACGTTAGCGGGCAATAACAACTAGATCTCCTTTAACAGATTATGAGAATCACGTAAAACATGATCCCAGTTCATAACTGTGAAAGGCTCACATTTTATAGACAACAGATCTTAACAACTCGATTTAAAATAAACCAGTTTGACGGCATTAATTTTTAAAGGTTTTTTTAATGTTACAGTTGTATCAACTTAGTATTAGCTCACATTGAGGGGAAAAATGGTTACAAATAACCCATAAAATTGGGGGTGAAAAAACAAGAGGTTAAAAAATTAAAGATATGGGAATATTAATGACCTATACTCAGTTTTTTTGTTTAAAGTTAAAAATGTTCAAAAACCCTATTTTAATTCTGAAATACGTATACAAAAAGGTATTTAATATATATATGCATATTTAAAAAATAATAAAACAAATACCTGTGTACCCACTATTAAGCTGAATTAAAGTCTTACAATAACTTTAAAGGCCCCTGTGTACTCCATCCTATTTTGTCCCATCCATTTCTACCCAGGAGCAACCGCTGATATAAATTTCACTTGAAGATTTCCTTGTTTAGTTTTAAAAACAGGGTTTTTTTCAGATCCATCCAAATTAACGTGTATGCTGCCATTTGTTATTTCTGTGCAGACTCCAGTGTGCGCTGGGCCAGACTGCGTCCACCTCCTGTTGATGAACATCTGAACTTTTACCTAATTCCTTCTCTGTCTCACTTTCACACATACACACAGACATACAAGCGTGCATGCACACACGCAATCACAGACGATTCTGCTACAAGCATTCTTGGTGTACACGTGTAAGAGTTTTTCTGGAATCTTACGGCTCGTACATATTCAGTTTTACGAAGTAATGCCAAACCATTTTCTTAAGTGGTTGTAACAATTTGCCCTCGACCATGGGCGCCCAAGAACACCCCGCATTCCCATGAAAGCCAGCATTTGATGCTGGCTGACTTCGTAATGCTGGCATTCTGGTGGGTGTGAAATGGGGCCTCAGTCCACACTTCCCTGATTGCTAAAGAGGCTGAGTGAGTCTTTCCATATATATCCTCTCCTGTAAAAGGCCTGCTCCTGCCTTTTCTTGATTTTTCTATTGGGTTATTATTTTTATTGTTATTCTTAATATAGTCTACTTTTCCTCAGTTATATATGATGCCAATATCTTTTTTCAGCATGTAGCTTATCTTTGAGTTTTCTTTACTGTTTTTTGTGAACGAAGCTTCACCTGTATCTGCAGCTGCCCCCAGGGCTGGCATCACCGCCTCAGCTCCGCCTCAGATTGTCAGGCATTAGATTCTCATGGGAGCACCGGCCCCTGGTGCCAACAAGGTTGGGGACCACTGGCCTATTAGACATCGAAATGGAGTTGTCAAATGCATGGTTGGTCACGAGTCTAGAGCACAGAGGAGGCCTCCACACTGTAGACAGCAATGTGGGAGTCACTGGCATGTGTCTGGATTTTCAACCTTTCTCTAAGAGCTTCTTACCTGCATCCTATAAAAACGCTTTTGTCTGCCTATCATTAAAAAATAAAAAAACTGTAACTATTGCCCTAGCTCGTCCCCATCTTCTTCGAAGTCTTAATAATCTCCCTGTCCATTTACTCTTTAAACTTTTGCCCCACAACAGTCCCAAAACTGCCTTGACAAAGGACACCAATAACCTGACTGGTCACAGGTTCTCTCCATTTGTGGCCTTCTTCCTGCCCAGGGTCCCTCTGTGCTCCCCCAGGGCCACTTTGTCCACTGTGATGTCTCCTCAGATGACTCCTCAATCCCTAAGTGCAGCCCCGTTTCTTTCCTGAGTCCTAAACTAGAATACACAACTGCCGCACCACCGGGTCACCCCACGGGGCTCTCAGACCCAACTCGTCCCAAACCGACCTCATTACTTCCCCCACGACAACTCCTCCTCCCCAACACCGTCTCTGTGTGAACGCCACTGCCGCTCGACCGAGGTAGCTAGGCCCGAAGTCTGGGGGTCACCCCCCAACCACTCTCTCTCAGTGTCCTTTCCTTACTTCCCAAGTCTCCCCGATTGCCACAGCTCGTCCCCTCACCTTGTTTAGACCAGAGCGGGCTCCTAACAGGCTAGCTCGCCTCTACCATCAGAATCGGATTCCGTTTGTTTACATTTCTGTCTCACTCCTATAATCGCAAATTCCATAAGGACAAGGATTATGACCTTCGTATATCCTGCAGAGGATGTTCATGAAAGACTCACTGAGTAACAGTAATAATGATTTTGTGCCAAGAGTGAATAAATGACTGAAATTACTAACATGCCCGAATTTATACACTTCATTAACCTAGTTAACGATAGGGTAGAGACAGTCCAGATCCCTGTGGCTATATTACACTCTTCAGATGTGCCTATTTTAAGGAATCCCGAAGCAAATCCTTTTGAAATGCAAGCAATCATCACTTAATTTATCTATTTTGTAAGTCAGTGGTTTTACATATCAGATTTTCCCAAACGGGGGCACACCTGTCTGAGGATGGAATCAAGGACTCAAAGCACTAATCTCAGAGCTCTGAAAGTGACTTGCTCCGTGACCTTGACTGAGGACAACATTACTGTTTCATCAGACATAAAACACCACGTGGAGTAACTCAAACGAGATGGGAGCAACCCACCAGAGTGGCAAGCTTATAACCGACTTTTCCAGCAGGGATTTTAAGACACGCCTAAACTCCTTGACGAACTATCAAATCTGGTGAGTATCAGTAACGTGGAAAAGACCAATTCACTCTAAACATTAGTGGTCACATGACAGTAAATGATCTTGCATTCTATTTGTTGAACTTCTCTATTTTCTATTTTTAAAATATATACCCAATTCCTCTGTAATGCAATAACTCCCATTCTTATATGATCTTGAGGCAAGTACCTCATTTATAGAGGAAAAAATCAACTCTGTGCACAAGAGTTGCAATGACAAGCATATTGTCATGGTTACATAAACATTTAAAAGCATTCATTTGTGCACAGGACATACTGAATTAAGTCAGAGTCCCCCACTGCCTAGATACACTGATTAAAGCTGCTGCCTTCAGAAATATCACATTTTCCTTCCCCAAGTCTTTATTGTAAACAGATAGTGTTTTCTCGTCTTTAGTCTTTGTAACAGCTTGTTTAAAAAAGAAAAACTATTCTTCAGGAGTTACATTCTAAAGGTAACTTATCCTCCCCCGAGACTCATTTTCTCTCCCTAACAGAATTACAAACTATGACTTTCATCTTGAAACGACACGTACCTTGTTGACAAAGGGTCCCTCTCCCTCAGCTGTCCTCCCCCAGGAGGCCCGAGCTACGCTCGCCCTCCCCGAAACCACGTCCAGAGCGTGTTACAGACGCTCGTTTTCTCACGCATTATTGAAATGAAGCGATTTCTTAAAAGCAAATGATAACTCTGAACTTCGACTAAGTCTGTTCAGTTGAGCATTTTGGGAACTCACAGAAAAAGTCATTTCAAACCTGGCATTCGATAGTAATTGGAATGAGTGCCAGCCACCCGCCACCCCAGTCTTCGGCGAGGACCTCGAACTCACGTCCCAAGACAGTGACCCCCTCGCCCCAACCCCATTTCCCGCACTCATCGGATCATTACACTGCATGTTTTCATAAACTGCCTTAAATTTTTACTGGAAAACTGAATTTAAAATAAATGAACATACTAATGGCAGTGTTGTAAGCATTTAAAAAATGTATATGGTTAACTTATACAATTATACATATATAATACAATTATATATATATTATATATATATACACACACACATCAATAGGTATTTTAACTATTATAATAACATGTAACTACAGGCCCTTTTTATGGCAGGCATTCTTAAACAATGAATGTTCAAGAATCACAAAATTGCCAGTTCATGTGTTAAATACCTCACATTGTGAAAGGTTTATTTACTTTGATAAAACTACTTAATCTCATAAAAGATATAGCCGTTTGCTTTATCTAATAAGCTATATCAAAAGAGGTCCTATATTTAAATAATTGCTGCAAGACACGGGTTCATGTAATTCAGCCACTTTCAAAATATAATCATTTATATATTTGATTCTGCTTTTAAAACATGATTAAAAAGCTAGTTTTTAAAATGCAACTAATTAACAGACTGCCCAAATTTATTACAATTCCTAAATTATGAGTTAATGTTTTAATTAAGTGCTTTCAGGAAGACCACGCCTGTACTTTCTACAGAGGAGCGATGGCCAGGTTCGGTATCTCACGTCATCCATCAAAAATCAACGTGCAAAGGTGAGAGGGTGGCGCTTGTCTGCGGGGTCACATGTGAGGGCCCCCAAAGTCCTTTTCTTTGGCTTTGCAAGGGCTAGGACTGTCTCACTGAGATATAAATAAAACGTCTTATTGTCAACGTCCCGAGAACTTGGTGGCTTGGCAGGTACTATTCATGTCAGCTGTAACCGATCTGGGGCTCGAACCTGGCACTGGGAAGGTGGCAGGCTCTTTCATGTCCACACACGGTAATTTCCCAGGGTCTCGAGAAGGTTTAAACATATCTTCCTTCCATTTCGACACAAAGCCCACTGTCTTTAAGCAACACCACTAGGGGCGGACATTTGAAACTGACAAGCAGCACACGCGCGTGCGGGACATCAGGGCCTGGCACGTGCTGCTGCGGCCTCTTGGGATTTTAAAAGGCTAGCGGCTCCGGAGGGCAGCTGCGCCCATCTCGCCGGGGCGGAAATTCCAGACCCTCCTCCTGACCGTGATGGAGACGGGTCTGATTGGAATGTGACTTTGTT